TTCCAGGAAGCAGGTTGTTAGGAATGGTTTTGTGTTGGGGGGCCTGGCCTGGGGGCACCACAGCTGTGTGGGGGGCTGGGCGGGCGCCCGCAGCGGGGAGGGCAGCCGGTCCCAGGAGGCGTGTGGGCTGCTGAGCGGAGGGGCACAGGGTCTTCCTTCGGTGTCTGGGTGGGGGCACCTGTTGTCTCTCCCCATGTGCTCGCAGCGCTGGATGCCCGTACACAGGCCTCCTTCTCCTCGTTGGGCGACTTCCGTTCGCTTTCAGGCGTTTCCAATCAGCGCCCCTCGGGCTGGGGCCCCGGGCACTACGGGATCAATGCGTGCTCATCGCCGCTGCAGTCAGAGCGGCCATGGGCCCTCAGGGCACAGTCCTCCCGGGCGGCTCGGCTCCGTCTCCCTGTGGAGGCCCCGCCAGGCCTCCCGAGGTGATCAGTGCCCTCATCGACGTGCCCATGAGGAGCGGGCAGGCGCCTCGCGTCCTGTCTCCGAGATCCGTGTCCTTCCCTGGCTGACCGGTATCCCAACGAGAGGGCCCTGCAGCCTCGGGGGGCAGGGCCGCGTCATGCTCACGGGGACGCCAGCCCGTCACCTCAAGCCCTCAAGGCCCCTCTTCTCTGTGAGGGTACCCCCTGGTTGTGAGGGAGGACAGTGGTCACCTGACCCCAGCTGGTTTTGAGGAAGGACAGTGGTCACCTGACCCCAGCAGGTTCTGAGAGAGGGCAGTGGTCACGTGACCCCGGTAGGTTGTGAGGGAGGTCAGTGGTCATCTGACCCCGGCTAGTTGTGAGGGAGGACAATGGTCATGTGACCCCGGCTGGTTGTGAGGAAGGACAGTGGTCACATGACCCCGGCTGGTTGTGAAGGAGGACAAATGATCATGTGACCCCGGCTGGTTGTGAGGGAGGACAGCGGTCACCTGACCCCCAGAGCTCAGAGAGGCATTAGTCCACGCACCCCTGAGTGTGGAAACAAGAATAGTATTCGCAGGTAGGCAGTGCCTCACGGCTCACACAGGTCCTGGTTCTTCTCAGAAGCTCAGTGACCCCAGGGGAGGGCAGACGGCGCATCTCCCCCAGAGCCCCACCAGCACCCAGGGGTCCCGCTGCCCCGGGAGGTATGGACAGGGTGCTCTTCGTTCACAGCCCTTCTCTTACTGCCTTCACTCCAGGTGGCAGCAAAGGGTGGTGCCCTTCCTCCTCCAGAGACAACCTGAGCTGGACAGGGTCCAGGGAGGCCTCTGGCGGGTCCCCTGGCACATCACGTCTAAGGAGGCAGAGGCCAGCGGCTGCACTCACTGGAGACAAAGGAGCCAGCCCTGCCCCTGAGTAAGGCCGGCCCTGGCGGCAGCAGATGCTGCTGCCTGCCCGCCTGACCTCCGACCTCCGGCTTCGAGCGCGCGAGCAGGCCCGGTGCGGCTTCGGGGGCCGCTGTGGGACGCTATCGACGAGCCGTTATAAATATTTAATCGTCACGTTAAAATCACGGGCCGAGAGCCATTAGGAGCCGACGCTAAGCAGGCTTTCTCCGCTGGTCATGGGGACAGAGGCTCCGAGGGCGGGTCCGAGGGCTCGGGCCGGGGGCCGGCATGCCCAGGGCGGTGCTGGGGACAGCGGCGCCCGCCCCGCCCGGAGGCCGGGATCTCCCTCGGCCCCTCAGGCTTCCCAGTCTCTGTGAGCACAGGCGGCTCACAAAGCAGAATGGATGGCTTATTCACGTCCGCTGCCATTAGGGCCAAGCGGCAAATTCAGCCCGGGATGAAAAGCTAAATCTTGATTTCCCTTCCCCTCTCAAAAGGAATGGACGCCTTGCATTGTAAATTACCCGGCCTTGTCCTCGGGCTGGCGTGGACATTGCATAATCTTAAATATTGATTCTCGTTAGACTAAAAAAATAAAAGAAGAGTCCTAGCACCGGGCTCCATGGTCTGCATCCAAGGAGACCGCCTCCGCCATAGCTTACGCCGAGGCTGCTGACAGCAGATCCGTTCTGATTAGAGAAGTTTCCAGAGACACAGCCCCGCCAGAGCACCTGCCCCATCGCAGCAGCACGGGCCCCTCCCGCCCGGAGCTCCGGGCCAGAGCAGGCACAGGGACCCGGGGCCTCCCGCCCTTCTCACCAGCCCCTCAGCCCCCAGGCGGGCTCAGAGCCGGCCACCTGAGCCGGGGGCGGCCTGTGTGCTCCTAGCGTGGCTGGGGCGTCGCAGGGAGCGTGGCTCTCGCTCCGTCCCGGCGGTCTGTATGGAATTCCCGAAGGAAGGTCTCTGAGGCCTGCCTCAGCGCACAGGCCCAGGCGCACCTGGGCACTTCCCTGCACCGCCTGGTCCTTCCCACCCTGACCTCGGCTGCTCTTCCCCTTTCTGGACTGTGGTTTGTCACGTGAGAGAGGGGCCCAGCTCAGTTCCGTGTGGTTCCATGGCACTCCGGGGACTCCGTGGCACTCCGGGGGCTCCATGGGCCTGGCACAGAACAGATTCAGGGCGCGCACACAAAGCCCGACTGACACAGACCCGGACTGAGCGTCCTCTGCCTGTCGGGGGGCCCTGGCTGAGCCTGGATGTCAGCCAGATCCGCCGAGGACGGCGGCGCCCCCGGGCGGGGCCTCGGCTGGACCGGGAGCTGAATGGCACCCACTCTGTCGTGGGTTCACTTTCCCAGAACCACCGGGAGGGGGGGCAGAGTCGGCACCGGTCCGAGCGTGCAGGGGTCAGGAGCCGCCCGCCGAGGCCGCGTGCACGCCACTCCTGGGAAACCCGCGGGCCCACACTGGGAAATGACAAACGACCAGAAAATCAATTTGTAATCTGATTGGAGGTTTTTGATTTCCTCTGATGAGTTTAAATTTCATTAAAAGCAACCTTATTCCCACATAAAAGGAGCCCTTGAAGGGTAAGGCGGGGGATTGTCTCACGGCGTCTGCGGCGACGGCCCTTTGTGTGATTTACTCGCGGCGTTAATTGTGAGGGCCAGCCCCGCGGCCCGCAGCTGCGGCCTTATCGGCGGGATCGCGGGAGCCCCGCACAAGGACGCGCATTCAGAGGCCGCTCCTGGGCGTATCGACACTTCAGTTATCAACAACTCTTGTTATCATCTGCGGGGAGGGGCTCCCGGCCTGGGCGGGGGCAGGGGGGGATCTCCAAATGGCCCCCGCCGCCCGGCCGCCTCCTCTTAATTGTGTGTCTTTCTCTGCAAAGGCCGGTCAGCGCGGCCTCTGGTCTTGATGAGAAATTGACGTTTTCCGCGGCCTCGTGGGCGCGGGCGCGGCGATAAGGCTGGAGAGGCTGGAGTGGTTTCGGAGGGGGCCCCTCTCCCCGCACCCCTCCCTCCACCGCCGCTCCCCCTGACCCGCCTGATGAGTATGGATCGCGTGAGGTCTTTTTCAGCACGTGAACCATAAGAGGCGCGGAGTGACACCACCCCTATAGACAAAAGGTAACCTTGCCCTTTGAATATATCGATTCTTTATTAACTGGGCTGTTTAATGCAATGAAATGAGGCATTAGATGGAAGCCCATTTCGAGTGCTTTGAATAATCTTTAAGAGCTTTGAAAGACCTTAAAAGGCGGCCTGACAATAGCCGGCACCCGCGCCAGAGAGAGGGCACTTCTCGCTTCTGATTGGAAACACAAACACGGGGCCGCTTCTCTCTCCCCGGGACGAGGGCCCTGGCCCCCGGCCCAGGAGCGGGGAGGCAGGTGAACTGAGTCCCCGGCCCCCGCCCACCCCCATCCTCCCCCTCACCCCGCATCTTGGGACGGAGCCTGGGGGAGGGGAGTGGGCAGGCGGCTTTGTGCCCCAGGCCCCTTTCTTCGCTGTCGCTTTAAGGAGGAAACAAATGCAGTGAAAGGAGCCGGCCTGGCACTGGCAGGAGGAGGCGGCACAAGTTTCTTTATGTTTTGAGTAATTGTTTCCTGTTTTGCTCAGCAGAACAAGTAATTAAGCAGACGTTTGTGAGCACTAATTTGGATCACACGTATGTGTATGTGTGAGAGCTGCGAGCCAAAACATGCAGAACCGCTTCTCATTGAGGAGGAGATGGAAAAGCGCAGAATAAAACGGAACGGGGCGCTGAGAGCTCGCCGGGGCTGGATCGGTGTGGAAATGAGGACCTCAGCAGCTCTCCTTACTGCCAGCACCTTCGGCTACACCCACGGGCAGCCGGCCGTGGCGGGGCGGTGGCCGGGGCCGGGAGGGGGCCGGGGCGGGGGCCAGGGCGGGGGCCGGGGCGGGGGCTGGGTCCAGGGAGGTGGCCGGGGCAATGGCTGGGGCGGTGGCCGGGGCGGGGGCTGGATCCAGGGAGGTGGCCGGGGCAATGGCCGGGGCGGGGGCCGGGGTGGTGGCCGGGGCAATGGCCGGGCAATGGCCAGGGCAGTGGCCCAGGCCTGTCACGGCCATGGAGTCGCCGGTGGCACCACACCTTCACGTCAGACCTCAGGCCAGACCTCGGCTGGCACCTGTATCTGGCGTCCTGCCGTCCGCCCACCCTGCGCCCCACTCCCAGCCCCGCCCCACCCTCTCCTAAAGCCGATCCTTGCTCCGGAGCCCCTGACAGGGACGCCAGGGGCATTTGCTCCGCCGGCCAAACCCCGCGGCTCAGAAGCAGAGGGGGGCCGGGGAGCGGTGACCACGGCCCTGTGAGCCCGGCCAGGGGGTGTCCCTCAGGGCCGCTGGCCCGCAGATGTGTGCGTGAGGCATACAGGCGGACGAGAGCCTCCCGAGTGGCCCACAGCCTCTCTCTCTGCAGGCGGGTCCCTTTGTAGAAGGTTCTTCCGTGAACCCGCCACGTCGGCCGCGACGAGGCTTGGGAGCCCGGGAATGCAGAGGACACCCCAGAGTCAGTTGCAAGAGTGCGTCCAGGCGGGCGTCTCAATAACCGCAACACACAAAACCACCCGGAGTGGAATCCACAGACGAGAAATACTTTAATTAAATATTGTGTAAAATGAACATTTTTATACAGTTAAATATCTGAAAAAATGTACAGATAAAACCATCTCGTTGCAGGGTCTCTAACAGGAACATCTACCGGGAGTGGAGCACTCCGACGGGAGACGGGAGAGCGAGGAGGGGCGCTGACGGACCGAAAGCACACGCCGAGGGCAGGGGAGGCCCCGGCCGAGGCCCCGCCAAACCCTGACGGAAACCAAAGTCACTTCCCAGGCTCCTCCGTGGAGCCGAGCCTCCCGCCGCCACAGGCCCCTGGACCCGCCGACCGACGGCTGGGACTTGTTCACTTGGCCCCTCGAATGAACGCTTTCTAAGTGGTGCGTCGTTTTGCTTTGTTGCCGTGTTTAAGAAGCCCCCCGTCTGTGTTAGCGTGATCCTGCTGCCGTTTGCAGAATGTCTGCCTGCGGACGCTGAGCGCCAGGGGAGCAAGCGCGGGCCCGTCGGGTGGGCCTCGCAGGGGTTTGGCACTCGCAGGCGCAGGATGGGAAGGTCATTCAAGTTTACAAAGTACAGACAGCGCTGCGGCGCCCGGCCTCCCCAGAAATGTTCCACAAGGAAACGGGCCGTTGTGCGCCACCCCCCAAACCTCTGGGACCCGAGGGGAGTGTGGGGGAGGGGGAGGCCGGAGGCAGCAGGATCAGCTGCAGTGAGAGACCCGGCAGCGACCAGGTTTGTGCTCGAGTGTTTGCCTGTGCGTGTGCGTGTGACTGTGTGTGTGTGTGACTGTATGTGTGGGGTGTGTGTGTGGGGGTGTGCGTGTGCGTGTGCGAGAGATGGTGTGTGTGGGTGTGTGTGTGAGACTGTGTGTGTGGGTGTGTGTATGAGTGTGTGGGTGTGTGTGTGAGACTGTATGTGTGTGTGTATGTGACTGTGTGTGTGTGAGACGATGTGTGTGTGTGTCTGTATGAGACCGTGTGCATGTGTGTGTGTGTGAGACTGTGTGCGTGTGTGTGTGTGTATATGTGAGTGTGTGTTACACTGTGCGTTTCCAGATGAGATCGGGCTAGCCGGGGTGGTGCATTCCTATGGTCAAACAGCACAAGGGGTCTTTAAATGAGTCCACTTTTAAGGCATCAGAGAAGTCCATGTGGCAGACAGTTTAATTAAAACATCAGAAGTAAATTTTATTTTAAACTTTAGGCCTCTGAATTTTTCCAGTAAACACAGTTCAGCTATGTGGCAAAAGTCATGGGTGGCAGCTAAAATGACTTTTTTACATTCTACCCAAAAAAATTATAATAATAATAAAATAAGGACACAGCCCCGAACGGTGTCCGCTCTGCACGGCCGTTCCACATGCACAGACTCTACTAGGACTTGTCACAGCCGGTGGCACCGTTGTGTTTTGACTATACAACAGACTTTTTTTTTTTTCTCAAAAGTATTTGTTCAGATAACTTAAAAATAATATAAAAATAAACAATGAATTTGAATTTTCCTCAAAATAAAAAAAAAGGATGGAAAAGTCTAAATAATAGCAAATTACTTTGTTAAGTACAAATGAAACACAAGGACACGGATGCATTTTAACGAAACAGACGAGAGAGATGGTCTTGGCCTCATGCTCTTCCCAGCGTCGCAAACGCCGGGCCATGACCCAGCATCAATGCGGACAGAGGGAAAAAAAAAGGAAAAAAGATGGCAGGGAAAGCAATGTACAAAATTCCAACGATAAATACAATATTTATAATTGATATGTTACAAAATAACGTCCCTTTGCAACTGCAAGTGTTCATGGGAAAAGTGTCGGATGAGACCATTTCATTCCTTATAGGATGCATAAAGAATAAAACTTGGCGGGGGGTGTTTTGTTTTGTTTCTGTTTTCCCCTCTCTAAATAGTTAAGTGGATCTGAAAAAAATTCAAGACAAGTGTATAAATATTTAGCTACAACTTTGGCAAAATCACAAAAGTCTACAATTTTATAACCACATACAAAACACATTAGGGGGAGAAGGATCTAGAAGTCAAAAGGACAAGTTCTGGTACAAGAAACAGGGACCTCACAGTAGCCTAAGAATGCAATCGTATACAGTACTAGCAAAAGTGGAAAAATGTCGCAGATCACGCTTGCTTAACGGGAAGTTCTAGCAGTGGGAGAAGAGTTTAACCAACGGACAGTAGCATTTTTTTTTTTCCTCTGTCAGTGTGCTTGTTGAAGGCAAGAGAATTCAATATCAAAGTTACAATTTCTAACTACAATAAGTTACAAAGTTTCATTTCATTAAGATGAAGGTAAGCAATGGTAAGCCCTCCCTCCCTCCCGGCCACCCCCAGTCCGAATCGCAGTGTCCTCCGCTCCCTTCCAGGTCGATGGCTCGCGCCTCCATTGGCCCCCTTGGTTCACCACAGAAAAATATTTCACATTATAGAGATACACAACCATTGTGAATCTAAGGATGAGGACAGAAAAATGTCCGCGGGCATTTTTCATCAGTGTGTCATGAGCATCAAAATGGTGCATTCACAAAGTTTCTCCCAACACAAAGCAAGTACGAGACACAGCCAAGACGGAGTCGGAAACTCTATACAAAATAGGCGTCGCTTTTGTCCTCCTGGCTCTCCGGGGCCGCGGCGGGCGAGGCCAGGAGGAGAGTTCGGTCCGGAAAATGGAATTGTCCGTGAAGAAGTGGGCCGCTCCGCGTGTCGCTTCTTAAACGGGTTAAATAAAATCTTTAAACAACGTCTCTCGTGGCGTGGCGACTGCTGCTGACGTATTTGAAGATACGGTCTCCACCAGCGTGTCTCAGTACGCTAAACGCGTCCCCTGAAGCCCGTGCCGGGGTGCTGGGTGCTGCGGAAGGGAAACAGAGGTCCCTCACATCGGCGGGACTACCAGCCCAGACATAGCTGCAAGAGAGGGAGCAGAGGGTTACCGGGCGGGGCGGCGGGTGGGCGGGGCCGGCTCCTCTCTGCATTCCTCCTCCGTGGCCTTGGGTCTGCACAGCTCTCCCTTAACCAGCCTGGGGCTTGGCTAAGGTGTGTGAGGGGGGTGAGGGGGCCTACGTCCAGGGCTGGGGTACACCTGGGACAGACCCTGCTCACGTGCTCCTGTGGAAGGGGGAGGGAGGGTCCCTGGCCTTTCCGTGTGGGAAGGCTGTGCCACACGAACCACAGTAGCTTGTGGGTAGCAGATGGAGGCCCTGACTCCCCAGAGGCCACCTCTGTGGACACAGCACGGACCAGCCTGCTCTCTCTCTCCCAAGGGGCAGCCTGGCCACGCCTCGGTTTCCCCTCTGCTGACCGCCGGGCATCGTAATGGTGAGTCGTGGGCCCCACCAGGAGCCCCGGAGAGACGCAGGCCCCGGCCTGGCCTCGGGGGGTCCCTCTGCCTCCCCTCGGAACGAGAGGGAAGATGCCCAGGGCAGCGGGCGCCTCTGGCGGACTCCTGGCACGAGTGTCATGTGGAATCTTTTAACTTCCGTGTTGTTTAATTTTTGTCAGCACGACGGTTCCCGTTAATTTATGTACCACATATTAATACATTTGTTCATGTAGTGATGCGAGCTTCAATTTCCCAGCTCATTAATTCCAACAATATTAATTTATCTCCGACTCACCGTTACAACTGTATGGCTTGGAGGCCCCGTGTGTGTGTGTGTGTGTGTGTGTGTGTGTGTGTGTGTGTGTGTGTACGTACACGGGGCTCACATGACACCCCCTTTCCAGGAGCCCGGCGCCGTGGGCGGGGGTGGACGGAGGCCCCGGCCGTGCACGGACGGGTGTGGTGAAGACAACGATTTCAAATCACTGATACCTTTCCAGGTCCTTTTTTGAGCATTAGTTCATCAAAGTGAAATATGCCACCGACTTCACAAAAGGGCCAGTTAGTCTTCTCCACGGGGACGTCCTCGGCACCCAGCAGAGAGCCTGGCACATATAGGCGCTCAGTAAATACTGGTGGAAGGGGCTCGTGTGTCTAAAGGAGCTACTGGATTTGGTTCACCGGGAGAAGCAGAGACCAAAGGTGTCTGAAAGAGGCCAGAGGGTGGCCCTGAATCTCAGCGCCCGGGGCCTCAGGGCACCCCGGAGCCATGGGCAAGTGGACGCCCACGTGGCCCCGCCTGCCACACGCGGCACAGGCCGCCGCCCGGGGACCCAGCCCGAGGCGGGCGCGGGGGGCAGCTGAGCATGTCCCAGCTGTGAGCAGCTGTCCGGGCGGCGCCTCCCTCTGCCCTGGGGGCCAGCCCTTCTCCTGGAGTCTTTGGAGGACAGCCTGAGTCACCGGCTCCGCCTGCCCGGCCCAGACCCACTGCCATCCGTGAGGACGGCCCGGCCGCTGGGGCTCTGGCCCGGGAGGTGGGCTCTGCAGGCGACACGCTGACCCTCCGCCGGGCCCTGGGGCCGCTCCGCTGCCTCCGAGTGAGGGGCTGTGGCCCGGGAGCTCCCGGCGGGCCTGCAGGCCCTGCACAGAGAGGACTGAATGCGGACCTGCTCGGGGCTGCAGCCCTGCTTCCCCATGGCACCGCACTGCCCCGGGAGGGCACAGGCTGTGTCTGGGAGGCTACGGAATCGGGGTGTCATCTGAGTACGGGGCAGGGGAAGGGTGCCTCCAGGGGGACTTCAGGGAGCATGCAATGGTGAGGGCGCTGCCAGGGGTCCAAGAGCGAGCCTGAGGAAGGGCCGGAGCGCCCGCCGCCGGGGCCACACCCGGCACCGGTCTCCACCCCTGGCCTCGTGCCCGGCCTGCCCCCTGGAGGCCTCGGGGACAGTCCCACCAGGGCTCCCGGAGCCCGGCCACCCTCCTCCCCCGGCCCCCCGCTCAGCCAGGCGCGCCCCGCCCTCACCTTGCAGTCCGTTCCCGTTGGCGCTGGTGCAGGAGGGAGGAGGAGAGGCTTGGGGCCGGACCACGGGCGCAAAGGCGCTCTTTTGTTTCACTGCGGAGATGACATTGGCAGGTGAGAATGAGAAAATGCCGTGGGCACTGCTACAGTTTGAAGGGAGGGTGACCGAAGAGGCTGCCATGGTGGGGCTGGACGGCACTACTGCAACAAAGCAAACACGGTCAGGACGCGCGGCGCCGTGCGGACGCGACACAGAGCCCGCGGGCCGGGCCGCCGGGGACAGCGGGCCGGGCACGGCCCCCTCCGGACGACAGGCAAGCGCCGTGTCGGACCCGGGTCCAGTGGGGCGGCCCCGCGCCGTTCCGATCGGGTCTGGGCCTGGGTTTGGGGTGCCAGTGCGACCGCACGGGGGGGCCCCCCCCGAACGAGGTCCACGTCCTGTCGCCAGGGGGGCGCCCAGCCTCCACAGCCACCCTTCCTCGGTCCAGCAGCGCACACCACAGAACATCCACGCAACGCACACACCGGAGGACTCGGAGTGGAAATGAATGCGGGCGATGACGTGTGACAAAAACAGACACTTACTGCCGTAGGGAGAGTTAGCGGAGGAGCCATTAAGAAATCCAGGCGAGCCAGGGACCCCTAGATTGGCCATGGCGCCACTTCCATATCCATTCATGCTAGTGCTCACTGTGTTGTAATTGGACTGCTGGGGAGTACTGCTGGGGACGTAGCCTCGCGGGGACACGCTGCTGGTATTGCGACTGTAGCCGACTGTCAAAACCCCCCCGCCCCCCGGCCAAAAATAACATTATTATCAGGGAGAGACATTGCGGGGGGGGGGGGGGTCCCCCGCAGATCTGTATCATACAGTAAACATTTCTCACCGACCTCCTGCGGCGCCTGTGCCCCTGCCTGCGCGCCTACTGTGCGTGCGGCCGCCAGGCCCGACCTGTGCCCGCTGGCCCGGCGGCCTGCAGCACGCACGCCTCCGTCTCCCCGTCAGCCGCGTCCGGGTCTGGCCAGAAGCAATTACCAGCAGCTCAGACTCCGGGGCGGGCCCCACCAGGTGAACCTGCGCCTCGGCAGCCCCTCAAATGCCATGGCTGACGAGGAGCGCTTGTCTGAGGCCATGCGCCCCGAAAAAGGCGGTGGGGGGTCACTCTTCCAGCTGCGGTCTCTGTGAGTGTGTGGGGCTCCCTCCCGCCCGGTGTGTGCAGAGGGGCAGCACAGGGAGCCAAGGCAGAACTGCCTGCAGGATGCGTGAGAGGGGGCCGGACGTGGGCCTTGAGAGCCGGCTCTGACTGCAGGGGCCACTCCCCGCTGCCCGGCCCGGGGTGGGGACATGTGGGGAGCAGGCACTTCTGTATGTCTGTGCGTTACGGACCCAGAAGCACATCCGAGGAGGGCCCCGCCGGTGGGCTGACCCATCCCGGCCACCCTGCGGCTCACCCGGGACCGCCAGGAAAGCCAAGTGGCTTACGGATAAACTCAAGGAAGCTTCTGGCAAATAGCACGCTCCGAGTGCGAGCTGGCACGGCTGCTGCATGGGCGCCGGGGCCTCGGCTCCCTGTACGGCACTGCGCCAGGGACCGGGGACAGGCCGGCCGCGGCCGAGCCTCACCACCCCCCGTCTGCCCCGCGCGCCCTCCTACCTTGGTCGTTGGCTTGTGAAGTCTCGGACACGTTCACGGCCAGCTGGCTGCTGAAGGAGTTCACGCCCATCATGCCCGTGTGCGCAGGGGTGTTGCCCAGCGTGGGGATCTGGTTGTGGTTGCGAGGGACGCTGTACAAGGCCTCGGCGATGTCGGCCGCCCGCTTCAGGATGATCTCCTGGGCGGGAGGGAGCCGTCACCGGGGGCCGGGCTCGGGGACCGCCCCAGCGCCTGGTCCGAGCCACACTGGCAGGCCCCCGGGGGAGCACAGCCCAGCCCCCGCCCCCGCCCGCCCGTCCTGGGAAATATGATGGCGGTGGCCACGTCCCCGGGGCAGACTGGCAAAAGCCTTTCTCCATGGGGCCAGGGTTCCCCTGGGAAGGTGGTTTCAGGGTGCTCCTGGGCGGGCACGCCTGCACCCGAAGGCCCCGCAGGGCACAGCCCCAGAGCCTGTGCCATGTGTCCCGCCAGCACCGACCGTCCACCAGCCCCAGCCGGTCGGGTGGGTGCCCGGTGCTTCCGTTCCCGTGGCCCCTGCTCTGGCCCCTGACCCTGGACCATCTCCAACTGGAGCAGTCAGCACGAGGCACAGACACGCCGGGAGGGCTCCTCACGCCCGCCCATGGTCAGGGCCGTGCCCAGGCCCCTGCTCTTCATCGCCCCGGGCCCCCTGGGAGGGGGTGTCCTCTGCCCGCCTACCTGGTTGTTGTGGGGCATTCCGTACAAGGCTTCCACCAGGTCGGCCGCCCGCTTGAGCAAAACCTCCTGAAAGAAGAGAAAAGCGGTGACCGCTGGAGGGACCGAGTGTGCCCCTGAGAAAGCGGTAAACTCCTTACACTGTGGGCAGGACACCTCCATCACCCCCAGGCAGCCCGGCCTGCCCGGCCCTGGGGGACGGCCACGGGGGTTTTCCACGTTCGCCCGGCCCCAGCCGGAGGCCCCGGCCTCGCCACGGGCGCCTGTTGCCGGGGCCGCGGGCCCGGTCTGTGCCTGCAGTTTAACGACGGCGTCTTGTGGGCATTAAACAAACGCCCGGCACCGCTGTGAAAGGCCTGGGCACTTCCGTGGCGAAGAACAATAAGTAATTTTCCATATCTTAATTAAACCGGCACAGCCCG